CTCATGAAAACATTTTTATGCTGTTTTTCTTTATTGTTATCTAAATAAATAATTTTAATTGAAAGGACTTTGAATGAGTTTGTGTTATAAATGTGCTGTAGTTTCCTTGCCTTCCTAGCCGAGAACACAGGACATAATGTACTCATGAAAAGTGCTGCAGAATAACATTCAGCATTTAGCATAAAGATTATTTTCTTGAGGTTAAAGAGACATTTGTTTGATTTTCTCCATCTGACTTCTACCCCAAGATATTAGACAGCTTCTTGATTTTCTACCAGTTTAAGGTAAGTAAATAATGAAGTAAATGACCACACTTGCCGCAGGGTTGGGCATTGCACATTCTACTTCCTCCCAGTCTAATTGCTTGGCTAACCTCCTCAGTGACTAATTGTTTTACCTGATGGTAACTGATGCTAAATACAGATAGTGTGAGAGGCAGAGTCAGGTTGCACACACACAATCATGCACACACACCAACATGCACTCCCATGCGCCCTCGTATTCTGTCAGTAAGGGTATCTGATGTGGCACACTGACGGGCAGGCCCCACACACACGCACATACCCAAACACGCCTCCACGTTCAGTCTCCAGTTACAGTGGGTACAGATATGTTCAGGGTGTTAAATATTAAAGGCTGTATTATTAAACTGCTAGGTGTTGTAATCGAGGGAACTGCTAAAAAGGTCATGTTCGAAATACAGGCTGCTCTGTGGTCATGTAGCTTTCCTATCTAGGGCTTCTCAATTGTTTTTTGCATTGAATTCCCTTATAGTGATGTAGAGAGAGACAGGAAAGGCAGGGGAGAGAGAGGGGATGACGTGCAGCAAAGGGCACAGGCCAGATTCGAACCCAGGCCACAGCAGTAAGTACTGAGCTACATACCGGGTGAGCTACCAGGGCACCCTGTTAGAAAAGCTGACTTGTAGGCATCATCTAACTTCAATATTATGAGAAATGAGGACATTAATTTCAGAGTGTGATGTTGACATTGAGTTCAAAGCAGGATTATTTCTGGCTCGTACACATCTGCCGTATTGTATTGTCACTTTGCATTTTTAGAAGCCCAGTCCAGCTTTACTGACGCACATTTTACAACTGGCCTCAATCACAAGACTCTCATTTTTCTTACTCCTTACTCCTGTTTATAAGTTGTGACTCAACATACAATGAGAGCTGCTGTTTTTCACATTTTGATTAATACAGATTCAGTTAAAACAACATTCTGTAGTAATTTTACCTTAAAAATACCAGGTTCATTTTGTTGGTACCACCAGACTACAGAGCAGCTTCTTCCCCCAAGCTGTGAGACTCTTAAATTCTCCCTCAGCACTGCACCATGCAAAATAGCATTGCTGTATTTAATTTTTGTATATAACGCTTGCTTTGTAGCATAAAGGGAACTGGACACTGCATCTCATTTTACAACCTTGTCAAACGCCAACATGACTCTTCAGCAAGCAAGCTCTAAGAGAAAGTACGAAAAGTTCTTTGGAAGAAGTTTGGTCAGTATTCTCAGTATGGGTATCAAAGCATAGGCTGTGAAGACACCGGAGAAGGCTGTCAACTGAACCCATAGCTCCATATGTAGCCAATCAATTAACTCTAATTAACCTCAACCCAAGTCCTGACCTTAAAATACTCCCTTTGAGAGGTGAGGACAGGCTAGATGACCTCACCATGAAGATCAAAAACTCAGTTTAATCTTCACTGAGACAGAAGTACAGCAGCACACACATTCACGGATACAGAACATGTGAGCACACACGCACACACGCACACACACACACACACACGCACGCACGCACACACAGGTGGTGATTTCCCCAGTCGTCTGATCTGGTTCATGTCTTCCTGGAGAAGAACTAGAGGTAATAGAAAAAGAGAGCGAATCGATTTATTCCATAAAAGTTACACTGCACGTGAAAAAAATTTTGCTTCTTGAAAGTCAGTCAGTCACCATTTCAAAAGCTTGCAAAAATATTTTTGTATCAATGATCATAAAGTGATTTTCAACGTTGGCAGCAATCTGTGATTTCTTCTTTGGTAATTTACCAGCAGCCTGGATTTTCAGGTTTTGTAATATATGACAAATCTCAGATTGTTTGTCAGTGCAAGCAAGGCATGTTGTCATGGCCAGGCCTCCAGTGTTGTCTGGTGTTTTCCCCTTCCCTGAGGTCCCAGTGCTCCCCTGTCGGTCTGTATACATGTTTGTGAGTGGGCGTGGTCTCCCCTCCCCCTTCTGGTTCCTGGCTCAGCTCCTCCTGCACACCTGTCTGCTTGTCATCTCTCAGCCTACACACACCTGCAGTCTGTCAGCCCATCACCTCAGCTGTACATCCATCCTGGCTCAGCTCCCACTCGTTGCCAGATCATTGCCTCTGCTACAGTGGTCGTCCAGCTCCCAGTTTTCTCTAGATTTCTGTGATTTATTGTTGGTGCTTTCCTTTCTGCTTTATGATCACTGCTTTTCTGCTTTCCTGCCTTGTCTGCTACCCTCGTACTATTCAAGCCTGATCAGGCCTCCACCACTCGCTCCTCAACCCCCTGCCGATGCCAGCCATCCAACCCCTCCATTCCATCTCATCCCTGCAAGTCTTTTGAAAGAACCCCCTGGAACATCACTTTACATATGAGTCCTACATTTGGGACCACCCTGTAAACAACTTAACATACTGTATGTTGCATCAAAAACAAATCAATTTGGTGTGCTAATCACAATGGTCTAAATGCTATTTTAAAGGCTTTTACATGCTGACAAAAACTAAATCCTGGGGGATGATATTGAAAATGCAATGTCATGCCATAAATCATGTCAAAGTAAAAACAAATGAGCCCCAAAAGTTGTGCTTTTACAGACAGATCATTTAGCCCACAGTCATTTGACAGTTTAAACGTGGAGTTTTCTTGTTTTGTTTACAAGTACATTTTTCTTTAACTAAAATTATGCTTACCTCCTAAAACATTTGTAATCTGTTTTTTCAATATTACAAATTGTGTATGTCTTTAGTGTTTGCTAGCTTGTGGTTGTTTTCATTGCCTTTGCAGGCACATTGCTGCCCCCAACTATCAGTCAAACTTAACAGAGATTAGCTTTAAGGCAAGCAATAGCTGGGCGTTATGCTCCCATAGGATTATCGCTAACTGCAAATAGATAACTTCCAGTAAGATGTAGGCTGTGATTCAGACTGTTTATTCAGGATAGAATTTTTCATCCTGAAAGAATACAGAAAACACTGCGCATGGTTGACTAGCATGAAAATGGTCATACATACTGCTGATTCTTATTGTAGCTGTTATTACTGGAAAGTAACTTGTGAGTTGTAACAAAAAATCTGATTCTATTCCCATTATAATATATCCCATAATATAATCTATGTAATAAAATGTTTTTCCTTGTCTCTTAACTTGCTGTAGTCTCATCTATTTGTCAGGATTTGTGAAAAAACTATGTGAATTTGGAACTTGTTGCTTTCAGTCAAAGTATGGGTGTAGATCACATAAGAAATTTTAAAATTGAGTGATGGTTTACAGTTTTTTTTTCACTTCTCACTGTCTTGATGATGTAAATAAAACAGTCCAAATCAAAAGGCAGTAGACAAAAAAAATATAGGTTCCAGCATCCTATAAGAAGTGACTACAGCACTGACCAGCATGTGCTAAATGTCACCAAACAGTCAACAACACTCACTACACTGAACAAAAAACGCAACACTTTTGTTTTTGCCCCCCTTCATCATGAGCTGAACTCAAAGATCTAAAACTTTCTCTATGTACACAAAAGACCTATTTCTCTCAAATGTTGTTCACAAATCTGTCAAAATCTGTGTTAGTGAGCACTTCTCCTTTGCCGAGATAATCCATCCACCTCACAGTTGTGGCATCTCAAGATGCTGATCAGACAGCAGGGGTACAGGTGTGCCTTAGGCTGGCCACAAAAACAAAAGTGTTGCATTTATAATTTATTTCAGTGTATTTACAGTAAAGACACTAAGTGGCACAGACCATAGTGCTCAGTGATTTGGTTGTAAAACTGAAAATATTAACTGAAAAATGGACCTTATTTGATGTGAAGTTTTTTTTCACTAGCTTGCGCAACCCATGGGTCAGTGGAAGAAAATTCAAAATGGACTTCTGGCGGGTATTAAAAAAAAGCTGCCTTTTGTCATTATTCCAATAATCAGATTTCTTGAAGATACTTTTTTATTTATGGTTGGTACTCAAAGGCAGGATTTGTAAAAAAAAAAAAAAACAAACAAACAAAAAAAAATAAACAAACACAAAAAAAAATGCATCTATAAAAATTATGATTTTATGAGAAACAGGGAAGAAAGGTTCTGCAATCATTCACACTTCATTCCCATCACCTCCTGGATAAGCCCCTACACAGTTCGTAGGCATCCTAAAAAAGCCTACCATTAGCAGAGTAACAGTGTATAAAGAGCTTCAAGCTGTGGGGAATGAGGAGGATTATCTTTCTAATCCATTTAGACCCTCGACACCCTGTACATCAGAACATATAGAGCCGTTAGCAACCACAAAACAGAGTGACATGAAAGGCTTGTTCCTCACGTAGTACACTCACACCCACTCATACTTTAATGTTGAAATACTGCAGGAAAAGAGTGAGAGGCGAGGGAGAGAGATGAAGAGGTGAATGGGAAACTTACAGGAATGAAGAGGGGAACTGTGAGGGAAAAATTAGGGCAGAAGCAAAGGAGAGAATAGGATGAGAACGCTCGACATATGGTGTCTGTGCTGAAACGTGTAACTCTGGGAAGAGGCTGTGGTGTTGCTCCATCTTGTGGTTAAAGTCAATTATCACGGTTGATATTTTAAAAGCGCTTTGAATTGCATCTGGCTGAGGATCAGAATAAGCTTTCTTTATGGAGAACAAGCATGTAAAGATGGAAGAGATGAGAGAGGGGGTTGTATATTATTGGATCCATGAAGTGCAAACAAGCAGTAAGTCTGACTTATGAAAGAGATGCAAAAAAAGTATTTATAGTACAAAACTTTAATATTCTCATTCCCATGACATAGAAATGTTACCATGTTCCAGTTATTTCATTTCCAGGATCAATAATTGAAAGCATTTACAGTTGGCTTTCAACGTGTTTTTATTGAAGCTTTAAAAACAATACTGATTTTCAAACTGCTGATTCTTATTGTAGCTGTTATTACTGGAAAGTAACTTGTGAGTTGTAACAAAAAATCTGATTCTATTCCCATTCATCCCCAATCTGTAATGGCCAATACTATAATATAATCTATGTAATAAAATGTTTTTCCTTGTCTCTTAACTTGCTGTAGTCTCATCTATTTGTCAGGATTTGTGAAAAAACTATGTGAATTGAACTATTTGAACTTGTTGCTTTCAGTCAAAGTATGGGTGTAGATCACATAAGAAATTTTAAAATTGAGTGATGGTTTACAGTTTTTTTTTCACTTCTCACTGTCTTGATGATGTAAATAAAACAGTCCAAATCAAAAGGCAGTAGACAAAAAAAATATAGGTTCCAGCATCCTATAAGAAGTGACTACAGCACTGACCAGCATGTGCTAAATGTCACCAAACAGGCCACTGTAGCATTCCAATGCCACAGATGTGCAGAATGTAGTCATAAATTAGCATAATTAGTTTTACTTTTAACACATATCTGTGGAATTTAAATTTCACGAGCACCAAGTTTTTCAAAACATCTAAGAGTCCTCCAAAATCAATGCAAATAAAAAGATGGCTAAAAATATAATAAATAATAAAAACTCACATTGAACATTTTATTAATATTACATTATTTTCAACCTCTTACCAGGAGAATTGAACTAATTAAATGATTCCTTGCATTTTCTTCAATAAAAACAAATGTTTAGTAGATTAAACATTTTGACCAACAATCTAATAGCTCCTCTTAGAATGGAGGGACAGAACAGCTCTCCTTCAGTGTGACATGTACCTTCCCAACACAAACAATGTGAAGGAAATGTGAGAGAAACATGTTTCCTCAGCAGGAAAAGAAACAGGAAGTAGTTTAACTTTGAAAACAATGACAACAGAGTGCAGAGATCCAATTCCTTACTTGGTTTGTTTTTTATTTTCAAAAGGTCTTTTGTACTTATTTAACTAAAATCTATCATTAATTGTTTCAGGTGGTTAAGCAGATAGAAGAGTCTTGAATCGGGAGAAATTAAAATGTGTGGAAATGAGAAGTAACTCAGGCAAAGACTTGTATGAAGACGATTGTAAGGCAAAAAAAATTTAAAAAATACATGTTATTTTGAGTTTGATGTGAATGTTTGACTTGGTCAAAGCTGTGTTACTCCTCACCACAGAACAGAATTAATTTAACAATAATTTCAATTGAATTTTGCACTTGGGCACTCGGTACATATATACAGTGTCACAGGTCAAAATCCTCACGATAACTTTTCACTCTTGCAGAGTGTAGTAGACTTTTCTGTAGGAACCTTCTTGTAAGACTCTTATTTACATCAAATAAAAAGCAAAAAGGCCGTAAAGTAAAACATATAAATCTTAATCTTTTTTATACAGAGTCCTAAGTGGACCGTTTCTCCACACCCTGCTTGATCCCCAGCACCAGATGAACAAACCAGTTGATCTGAACCATCCAGCCCTTTTCCCGGCAGATCTCTATCTGGTCCAGCAGATGGCGCTGTGCCTCGTCGTCAGCGCGACCGACGGTCAGCGCCTCACGAATATACTCAATATCCTCCTTACTAGTCAGCTGGGGCATGCCTGTTAATGGCCAAAAAATAAGAGTCTCACTTTTCAGAGAGATGTTTGGGTATTCATCAGTTTATATATCTGTTGTTTTATCATTAAAAGAACTTTGGGTTTTATAAGAAAGGAAGTCATACCGGTCATCAGCATCATGGAGAACAGGATGATGAGGAGGTTGGTGTGGTGCCGAAGGGCAAGGTAAGCCTTCACACACACGTCCTGAGACAGAGATAAAGGATGTATAATACATACAGACAAATGAATGCTGAGTATATGAAGCTAAAAGCCTTTTTTTTTGCTCAGCTGATTGTTTCTTAAAATCTAACTTGGTCAATAGTTGATTTTGGCAAATATATGTCTTATTGATGACCTATGATGGTCTTTCTGACCTATTTAATGTTTAAATAAGGGTGGATGGATGTTTGTGCAACTGCGAACGTATGTGTAGGACGTGTAGTATGTTCAGTTTATTTAGCTGAAAATAATCCCATTTTCTGCACCTGGAATTTCTGGAAGTGGGGGCTACTTTTCTTTCCTGATGTTCCCATGACATACAGGAAGTCCGGAGTGAGCACAAAGGGAACCCACTCCTTGCTGATTCCCATGAAACTCTTATAATTCCCCAGGATGTGACCAAAGTCGATATGGAAGAGGTTCCCTGCAGAAACACAAAGGAGATTTGTTTTCAGCTTCTTCTTCAGGTTTATACTGAGCCACCTGGCCACATAGGATGTGTTTCATTAACTGTAGATAGTAATTAATAATAACTTGTTGGACAAGATTTTTAAAATAGTGACTTTTTATGCTGCAATATTTCACAAGCATCATTTTATATATTCTTTTTCACTCTGTGCTTCAGTGAGATAAAATACAGACAAAAGACATCATTACCAGATTCAGTGATCATAATGTTGTCATTGTGGCGATCCCCAATACCCAGGACGTATGTAGCCACACAGTAGCCACCACAGGAATACAGAAACCTCTCCACAGCCTGCTGGAACTACAGAGAGAGAAAAACATGCAATACAACACCCTGCTAACAATTTTTTCATGCCTTGAATATTTTATATAAAAAAAGATCTAAGGCACTCTTGTGGCTAAATTAAAAAGCCTATATTTATATTTTTCATGGTGAAATTCTAAAAACATAAAATAGACAAATGCTTGTATGTTAAAATAGAGCTTGGTAAAAACCCATGCAGAACAAATTTAGTTCTTCAGGATAAAGGAGTTTGTGCCAATACGCATTGAAAAACCTAATCTGAATAGCATAATTTGAAAATGAGTATTTTATACTCTTTTATACTATATAGTTTGGAACTGAATTCCAATATACTTAAAGGTGGATGTAATATTATGAAATTGAATTTAGCTGTTCCGAAACTGTATTTGATCCTCAGTTCACTGAAACACACATCCGAATGTTGAGGAAGAGCAATCAAGCATAGATTCATAGAAGCAATTGAGATGATAACCAAAGAATGTTTATTAATATATACATAAATGTGGTGCAGTGGGGAATACTTATTACTGTTTCTAGTCAAAGAATCTTGATACAGTCCATATCATAACCAAATAATAATTTGCATGTTTTCTGGTATGCTAAATCTCTCATGAGACTGAGATGGCTGTGATGCGTACCTTGTCCTCGCTGACACATTTGTCCCGGAGCCACTGATAAAGGATTTCATCTTTAAAAGCGCCGGTGCTTCCCACAACACTCTGCTGGATGTTAGCAATGGTGTTGGCGTCCTTCACAATCTCAATCATGCCTACAGCGATGCATCAATAAAGACAGAGGGAAGGGGTACCTATTACAGAATGACTGTAATATTCAACTCATTTGTTTTTCAAATCTGTCCAGTTGAACAACTGACCTATTCGGTTTCCAGTGGAGATGCAGCCATATGGTAACAGGCAGAGATCCAGTGATTCAGTCTCCCAGATCGACTCCATGATCAGCAGAATCTGAAGGGACACAAGAGGAGTCTTTCTAAGAGTCTTTCATCAATCATTTGCTGTCTTCTGTGTTAAGAGACTGCGCTGCCACACTCACCTGCAGGATGAGCATATCCTGTCTGAGGTCATCGCCGTCTTTGAAGATGATGCCGATGGGGTCTTTGGACAGAGTGGTGGGGTCGGCCCTTTTAAACTGCAGCCACAGAGGCTTCTTCTTAGATGCCATCACTTTACACTGCTCGATCTGAATGCACATTCACAAAACTGCTGTTATAAATTGGTTTCAACTGGTTTTCTACTTGCACACACCTATAAGTGTGGTTTAAGTGTGTATGGTTTTCTCCACTGCCAGTGTATGTGTGCGTGTGTATGTGTTTGTCCCTCACCAGCAGGGCTCCAGCTCTTAGTCCAGGATCATAAGGGACTCTGAAACTCTCTGGCAGACCGGACGACTGCAGAGTCTCCAGCTTCTGACGCAACTGAAACACCACTGACGAGCACGCGCGCACACGCACACACACACACACACACACACACACACACACAGAGCTTTAGTTTGACTTCTTGAAGATATATTTGTATAATTATGTTTAAACCAAGATAGACTGAACAGTTACACACAGTGCAATAGGTGAATGTCAGTTTTTGTTCTTATCGTGTTTCTTGCACATTATAGAGTTTGACGGGGTACAGACCAAAACAAAAAGCTTAGTGTCTGAGATCGACCAAAGTGCTTGGTGAAATTTAGAAGCTGCAGCACCAGTAGTGAAAATTAGCACATGTAAGAAATGCTGTAGTGGATGAAGCTTTTTTTGTATATCCTTAAATGTTTAACTTCAATTAAGAAATATGAATTTGAAAGTGAATATGCAAAGTTAATAATCACATAAAATGCTTTAAAATTTTTGCTTCTAAATATATTGTGCTTATTAAAAACATGCTTTTTTCCTTAACTCCTAAGAGAACCTAGAAAATATACAATTTTACCATGGGAAATCACAGGTTAGTCTAAGTGCTTTCTCAACAAACAGAGCTGCAGGATGGCCTGAGAGTTTAATTTCTCTGTCTCACCTTGTGCAGTAATGTCGTACTTGTCAGCAGACATGACCTTGGTCTCACGCGTGACTTTCTGCAGAGCCTCAGTCATCTCCACCTGGAGAGCATCAGTTTATCAAGTCAGTCAACACAAGACTCAGTTTCTGAAGCTCTGAATTGTTGTTGTTTTTACACACACCATTTCATTCAAGGAGATGTTTACAAGACATGACTTATTGCTCACCTGTTTCCTGAAGTCCTGCAGCATGTCTTCACCACAGCCTCTCAGGTAGGCCTCCAGCAGGACAGCATACCTCTGCTGGTAATGCATGGACTGGGCGATCTCACTGCGCAGGAACCAGAAGAGAAAATGACCTATACGCTTACTCTGTGGAGGGAAAACAAAACGAATTTGGAATGAAAAAAGAGGGAAGACTATCTTTAATTAGCTGTAAATGGCAATTATAATGACCATAGACAATAATACTGTGTTATTATATCATCAGTCCATATAATATACTGCAAACATTGTAAGACAGTGTGAGAAACAGATCTTACCCTCAGAGCTCTCTTCAGCAGGAACCTGACCAGGGCGCTGTCATGGTAAGGCTCAAACTTGACCGCCTGCAGGACACACACATCAAAACACACAGACAGGAAATTACCATCTGTACACACTCCAAACCACATAGTGGAAATCTGAAAAAAAAACTTACTTGACACATTACTTGACAAATGGGAGAGGAAGCTTTTAAGGGCACCCTGTAGAGCAACATGTGTGCCAGTAGAACAGAAGAAGAGGACCTTAAGCTGATGCCACATTCAAGACAAATTGCTAAACAGGCTTTGTAAATGATTAATGAGGTAGGAAGTTCATTTAAAAATGTTTCAAGGACTCAGGGACGTTTACAATATAAAAACTTCACAGGGTACCTTTAACAGACTGAGTTCAGAGGTTACTGTGTGATGAGGCAGAGAGTGGACAGTGGCAGTACAGGAAGTGCAGTGAAAACAGAGCTCACTGTGTTCACACAAGACTGTAACAAAAAGTTAACTAAAGGAAGCAGGTCAGAGGTGTAGCCAGACAGTCAGAAATAAGAATAAAGCATACACTAGCAATGCAGTAGGGTCGCGTTTGACTGCAACTTTGGTGCCTACAGTAACACAATGTCCTGAAATGAAATGCTTCTATATTGTAAATTAGGTATGCAACAGCTATCTCATTAAAAGTTCCCAGAAAACCAGGACTACAGTATACTGTAAAAGGAAGGGTCATTTGCCTATCAGACCAAAGGGCCCTTTGTTGGCCTCAGCTGATAAATCATATGGCTCATGCAAAGTTGACCACATGGTCAACTATGGAAACAACATCAGAAGACAAACATGCAGTGTGTATCTGCTGAGGTGAGTGTGAAATAGTGCAACTGAATCAAGTGGAACAGGAGAGTTACTAGAAGTTCTTCACCTTTCTTTTCTATGAGCCAAATCTCCTGTGGCCTGCATTTTGACTCACCCGTATGTGAGGTTAAAATGATGACAGTCTGGTTTAGTTACTGTGATCAGTGACAGATAATAACCTGTAACAAGTGATGATGTGTGTTCAGTAGATACACGTTTGAAATGGGCCAAAACATCACTTGAGGTCAGAGGTCATGTGAATTGGCTACTGTGTGTTTTTATTCACATACACAGACAATACGAGTTATACATACAATGTGTCAGTAGTGGAAGAAGATTGATTAGGATCGCAAGAGTCCTCAAACATAAAAACATCACTTTAATAGATATTTGTACAAGTAGAACACTTAAAACGCACAATTAGCCCCATACACAGTGCAGCACACAAAACATCATTAAAACTAAAGAATACAACAATTAATCCTGGTGGTATTTTCTGGAAATGTATCTATTTCCAGAAAATACCACCAGGAAATTGAGATGTTTTCCTTAAGCAAAAGTAGTTATACCTCAAGTAAAAATGCTCTGTTAAGGGAAAGTCCTCCAGTCATAATTTTACTTAAGTACAAATGTATTAGCAGCTAAATATATTTAGAGGAATAGTTTGACATTTTGCGTTCTTATCTGGTCAGCTGTTTCCAGTCGTGCTAAGCTAACTGCCTTCTCATGTTAGCTTCATATTTAGAGTACAGACATGAGTGATATTACTCTAGGTAAGAAAGTGCCTAAGTGCATTTCCCAAAGTGTCTGACATTTCTGTTAAAGTACCAAAAGTAAAAGTACTCATGTTGAATGGTTCCTTTGAGTGATATTAATGGCTTATTATCACTGATGCATCAACATGTAAACAATATTTTAATATTTACTATAGCTGGTTGAGGTGAATCTAATGTCAATTATTTATTATACTGTTAAAATAGCAGCGTCATAGTCTATAAGATGTAAGCTATACGCTTTTCCATGTAAAATTATGTAACTACAGCTGTCAAATAAATGCAGTGGAGTAAAAAGTACAATATTTCCCTCTGAAATGTATGAAGTAAGAAGTATGAAAAAGCAGAAAGTGGAAATACAAGTACCTCAAAACTAGACTTAAGTAAAGTATTTTAGTAAATGTGTTACTTTTCAACATTTGTGTCACCTTTAACATGTAAGCATAAAAAAAGAAAAGGAAAAGGATAGAAAAGACACACCTGTACAAGCTGCAGAAGGTATCTCAGCACATCATCATCTTCCAGAGTCTCCAGCTTCCTGACAGCCATTGAGCGAACCTGAGCATCTGAGTAGTGACAGTCCAGCAGCTGCATGGCCAGACCAACATCCAGACCACTGAACAGGAACGACATGACGACAGGTGATGGAACATTGAACCTACTGAGGATATGGACAGATACATGTAGCGGCAGTGGAAAAGCCCTCTTACCTGCTGTCCCATGCACTGCTACGCTCAAGCAGACGGTGAGTTGCCAAAACATCTTCCTGTTTCCCCCACCTGACTGAACCCAGAAGCTTTGGGTAGGCCCTGAAGACAGGGAGGCATGAAGAGATTAGTGACAAAATGAAATATCCAGCAATGAGAGCAAAGAAAAAAGGAATTATATAACACTTTGTAATCCACTTTCTTTGGAATAAAACAAGTACCTGGGGTCGCGCATACACTCATGCCTGAAGTGCCACAGCAGCTCTTTGTCCTCAGGACTGAGTGGATGCAAAGGGTCCGTAGCCACGATAGCCTCAAACTGTTTCTTCAGGTGGTTCGGCATCTCCCTCTGACCTCGCTCCCCTCCCTCGGCTTCCTCGCTCCCAGCTGCGAAGTCCCGGCCCACGTCGCGACTCTTGGGCAGCACCACGGGGTAGCAGTACTTGTCCAGTAAGATGGCAATGGCCATGGCGGAAGCTTTGTCTGGGTTGGTGGCTGAGGTGAGCTTGTCTGCGTTAATGCTGCTGCTGCTCTCATCGCTCTTCTCTGGCATTTTCCACATGTGGAGGATGAACTCGCCCTGGCGGAGCAGAGAGCGGTGGTCGATGAGCAGCAGGTTGACATAGTACAGAAGACGACTCTTGATCTTTCCTGAAAGATGGACAGACAGACAGATGTAAGCCTTTCTCTAACGACTTCCAACATCAAACAACAGGAAACCAAATGTTAGTAGACCTTACCATCATGGCTGCTAGTTCCTGCTGTATTATCCTGGTAGGGTGAAGCCCCCTTGGAGTTCGGTGTTAGGGGCTGCTTCCCACAGACCACCTGGGTGGAACAAACAGGGCAGAATGGTAGCAGTTTGTAACTACACTACATCAGAGCATGTAGAAACTCTTTTTCCTGAAATCAAAATACAAAGGAAAACAAAGGAGCTGGCTGGCCAAGGAGGTGCAGCAAAGGGAACTACGTATGCTACGGAAGATCTGATGGTAGAAAGTAGTACAGTAGTAGGCTGCTGTTGCAGCGTGCTCCTAAGGTTTTTTTTTGCTTAATACATTGGTAGAATATTATTGGGTTGTTTAAAATGGAGTCATTGAGTACATCAGTGTGCCATAATGTGGTCAAGAAAAAAACCCTCACTTACTATCGTCCACCAAAATTCAACAAGGATTTTATGCAGGTTTGCTGATTTTATAGCAGGTATACGTTACGTTAAATCACGACTATTTTATCATTTTTGGTGTGTGTGGAGTGGTCAAAAAGACTAGAAAGGTGCTATACAGAGCATTTACATGTATGCTTTGAAAGCCAACCTATGGTTAAAGACTTCTTAAATCTTCATCAACTCTTTTAATCTCACACATGAAAAGGGACACACATTAGACCTTGTGCGTATGTATTTCAGATTACTTCCCTGTTTTATTTATGATTACAGTCCCATGCTCTGTGGTCAAGTCTCCTCTTGCACGCTGCTGTTGTGTGATTAACAGTCAAACCCCAGCACAGTTCTCTGCTGTTTTTAAAGACTCTGTGCTGTATAACTTGGATGGAGGTGATGCTACTAGTGCCGATGGTCTTATTACTCTTTTTAATTCAACCTGCACAAACATCTTGGACTCTGTAGCTCCTTTGAGGATGAAACGCACTAAGGCACTTTAGGAGCCCTTGTTACTGACTCCACCCGTGCCCTTAGAAGTGCATGTCATCAAGCTGAGAGAAGGTGGAAGAAAGATAAACTCAGAGTATCATATGACATCCTACAGCAATATCTGTCTGACTATCAGAGAGCTGTAAAATCTGCAAAATCTCATTTTATTTCTAACCTGGTCTCCAACAACTATCACAGGCCTCAAGTTCTTTTTAATATGTTAACACCCTTACAAAGAAACTCTTTGAAACTCCACATAACTCTGCTCCTACTATACCTACATTAGACCTCTGATTTTTGGCCTTCGATATTCTGTAACCACATCCTCTGACCATGATCCCTCTGTTCCTGCTATGTTGCCTCGATCAGTTTGAGCCCATATCAATCTCCTCCCTATCTGAGGCTGTCCCTCAGACAGCGTTCCCTCTCGTCTGATTAGGGAAGTCTTTGACACCATTGGACCATGTATTTTGTCATTGATAAATACCTGTCTTGTCTCGGGTTATGTTCTGTCCGCCTATAAACATGCTGTTGTGCAGCCCCTGTTAAAAAAGGTTCTCTCTAACTTCAGGCCCATTTCTAAACTGTCTTTCTTATCTAAAGCCCTGGAGAAAGTAGTTTTTACCCAGCTGTAAACATTTTTAATTAATCATAATGTTTATGAAAAGTTCCGGTCTGGTTTCAAACCCAATCACAGCACTGAAATGGCACTTTTAAGAGTTTTAATTACTTAATTTTAACTGTTGATTCAGGAGTCTCTGCTGTCCTAGTGCTCTTAGACCTCACTGCTGCCTTTGATACTGTTGACCACTCAATCCTCTTGTCACAGTTGGAAAACGGTGTGGCAATTAAAGGTACGGCACTTAGGTGGTTTTGATCCAACATAACAGATAGGATTTTATCTGTCCACCTCTGAGACAGCCCCATTTACCTGTGGTGTCCCTCAAGGTTCTGTCTTAGGCCCCATCTTATTTTCTTTGTATTTGCTGCCCCTGGCAGAAGAGAAGTACGAGGTCTCTTTCCACTGTTTTGCAGACGATATTCAAATTTATTTGCCCCTGAATGTAAAAACAAAGGGCTCACTGCAGCCCCTGCTTAACTGTATGAAGGACATCAAAACATGGATGAACCTTAACTTCCTCATCCTAAATGGAGACAAGACAGAGGTCATAGTGTTTGGACATCCTGATATGCTTGATGTAGATTCTCTTGACCCTTTAAGTTCAAATAATCACTCAACTGTGAGGAGTTGGTGTTGTGTATTTAAATTTGATAAACAGATATCTGCCACTGTGAGATGCTGCTCCTTCGGTTGAGAACTACAGCCAAGGTAAAGGCCTGTGTCCCTCCTAAAGATTTGGAGAGGGTGATTAATGCCTTTATAACTTCCCATCTTGACTACTCGTCTGTAACTCCTTGTATGTGGGCTTAGGCAAGTCATCCATTCAACGCCTGCAGTTAGTCCAAAATGCTGCTACCCGCCTCCTGACAGGAAAGAAGAAGAGGGACCACATCACACCTGTGTTGCGCTCCCTCCACTGGCTTCCTGTTCATTACAGGATTGATTTTAAAATCTTACTTTTAAATTTCAAATGAAATCAATAAGATTTTAAATGCCTTAATGGATTGGCTCCGCTTTACTTAACAGAGCTTCTTCACGTTCACACTCCAGCTAGAGTGCTGAGATCCACCAATCTCCTCCTCCTGGATGTTCCCAAAAGCAGACTTAAAAACAGAGGCGATCGAGCCTTTAGTGTAGCTGCCCCTGCCAGTCCATATCAGAACCGCCCCAACTCTTGAACGCTTTAAATCACTGTTAAAACCACATCTCTTTTCTTTGGCATTTCCTTCAAGTTAAGTCAGTTATTATCCCTGGCAATTTTAATATCACTATATATCATACACTGTATGTTATGTTTTATTGCTGTACTTTTACTGTGTAGGTACTGTTTTATTATTGCATTTATAACCTGTGAAGCACATTTTAAGTGTGCTATATATATAAAATTGATATTGATTTTGATACTTTAAACAAAAGGCTGATATAAAAACTCATCTTAATGATGACGAAGCTGCAAAACCCAAGAGAATAGTTGCCATGGGTTTCTCGAGAAAAAAACAATTGAGCAAATTTGTCCCACACGAAGAAGGTAGATGAGTTATACTGGATGTCACAATAGAAGGTCAAAGATTGGTAATATTTATGCACCTAACTCTGCCAACTCTCATTTAAATAGAAATATGGGTAATAAAAGCAAAAGTAAAAGCATTAAATAAATGAATGTTTACCTGGAGGTTAAGGCGTGCTCCTTTAGGCAGGTCCTTGATCTTAATGTTAAACTCCAACCAGCAGTTCCACAGCACTTCTTCATTGAAGTTTTTAGAGGACGTCCTCTCCTAAGAGAGTAAAGGCAGGGTCAAACTCTGCTGTCTGTTAGTGCTTCCTGAAATTGTTCCTGAAATTGTTGGTTACAAAACCATCATACAACTGACATAGTTGTGTTTCAGTTCTGATTGGCTGTATCTACTTTAAAGTTACTGTTGAGAGATCCAGCTTCAGGAAATATGGCCGAGCCTCACCCCCTTGAAGCCCCACTGAACTCTGATACGCATAAAGGATGATAATTAAAATATGAAAGAGGTGCACAAAAGTATGAGAATTAAACAAGAACTAAACAAGAACTCTGGTTCCATCTCAGACAATTTGCGCCTCTTGCTGAGAGCAGCAGCAATGTCCACAGCCAACACTCAACCGTGTTATTCTCCACTGGGAAAGTCAAAGCCTTCTGACCTGTGTGCCTTATGCATGATCAAAAATAATTATAACTTGCTAAATACCGGCTTGTTAAGCAATTGTATCTATCCTATAATGTGAATCATACTTGACGTAGATGGGTTGAGCCTTAACCAATGTCTTGTATGAGCCTCTTGGTTTTACCATGTATAGAAGATAGTACGAGTTTTTCCTGTGTTCCACCTACGTATAAAAACATCTTCTTTTTCTTTTTTGTTTCTCCTTGTTAGAGGTAGAGTGAGAGAGAGTTTTGTTTAAAAATCAGTAAGCTAGTTGATTACTAGAAGCCATTTTCTTTTTGCATAGAGGACTTCCATAACGTCCATTTCACAGATTTGTTAAGCCCGCTATAGTGTAAATGTCATTAATTTGCCATGAAGGGAATTTAATTGTTTTTAATATCTACTGCATTTGTAAAATACGGATATCCATCTGACAACTACATCATAGGGCATCAGTCAGCCATCTCCAGGTAAAATATGTTTGTCTGGAGGGGGTATTGTCTAGAAACAACAGCATTAAGCCTTAGGATTTTCATCAAATCAAACCTGCCTCTGATACAATTTCTGTTCACCATTCTTTCAGCAATATCCATTCAGTGTATTTACATATTCTCTCCTTTCTCCTGCAGGATTCTAACATCACTGTTTTAAATTTTATCTCACTGATATCTGCCACACTCACCGTTCACTTTCCGTATCAGAGAGATCACATTAAAAGCAGGCAAAACAATAGGAGGCTTTTATTGTGAAGCATTTAAAAGAAACGCCATGTATTTGTCACCGAGGTCAGCACTGACCACAACCATTCATCGAAAATGTGTTTATAAATAATACACGGTCATTTTCAGCATTTCTTTGCCCATTTGAAATATTGCGGGGAATAATGGAACGGGGAGCTTCTTGCCATTCTGTTTTGTGTTGTTGAAGATGAAATCATGCCATTGACGACTATTAGCTGCCCTAAAATCAATGTAGCTGCCATCATCAGATTATTTTCTTTTGTGTGATTACCTGGGCTAAAAGCTGTTGGCCGTGAAAGATGCTGGCTTCTATGAAAACAATAAACTCTGGGATTTTGGGGAGGGATGGGATGTCAATTCCCAGCACCTTCACTCTGAACTTCCTGTTACAGTCCCACATAGAGATGGTGAACACTCGTTCATGGTCCTTCTCATCGATGGTCAACTGTTCATGGGTACCTGACAGAGAAACATTAGGAGGATAACCATTACCATTGAAATCTCAATAAAATGGAATTGACACACCATCATACACACACACAAACAACACAATACACTTCCCTTAATTTAACTTGTTACCTGCGACTCCGGTGCAGTCATCCACTTGTGCCCAGTCCTCCTTCTGGACCAGATCCAGGTCGGGATCAGGTGGCGTCTCCAGAACCAAGTGGATTTCCTCCCCGTTCTTCAGACACTGGCGGATCCAGTTGAAGTTCTGCAGTGGTTTCTCTCCGTACAGGTACTCCTCCCTGTGTGCACACACGCTGAGACGCTCACTTTTAAATTGTAAAACATGAGATATTATTGATTATCTGCTTTAAATAATTATGATATTATAATATAATCCAGCAAATGACTACTTTACTTTTCAATGCAAACTAGCTGCGAAGTGATTGCTGATTTTAGCATCTGACATACTGTACCTTCCACACACACGTAACACAAAGTCTGCCTCGCACAAGTGGTCAGGGATGCCCAGCAAAACTCTCTTATTGGCTGTCTTGGTGAAAAAGCTCGCCAACACCTGAACAAGTTGGAAAATTGTCCAAAAATGGTACATTAAAAGAAACCAAAGCAAACACAATGACATGTCTTCACTTCGCTTGTCTACCTGCGCTGGCGTGTCATCGATGGAGACCTTGATGGTCTGGCTGGCCGTGCTGCTGTGGATCACCACCAGGATGTGACTGTTAGTGATCTGGAAGGAGGAAGGAATGAAAGGTGAGAAGAGTGAAGGAAAAGACAATAAAGAAACACATCAGTCAGTGAAGTAAGTAAAGTAATTAATGCACATTACTACTAATAATAAGGTTTTGATCATGATTTATAATGCAATAGCTAGAAAACTGAAAGCTAACCCTCATATTAGCACATATACAATGCATATAAAGATACAGAGGGGCCACTTCAGATTTGCTCATGCCAAGGATTTAGATCAGTCACAAAGTCACAAAGAATATAATGACAGATGTACTGTAACTGCCAAAGTTAAAAGCGCTTGATTGTCTCACATGGGAAGATCATGTTAAGGATGTGACATTTGAGTCCTCTTCAAGTAGGAAGGGCATGAACCTTCCCCGTCATATTATTACTGGCTTCCTCATGCGACTCGCACACTTCAGTGGCATGTTTGAAAAACTTAATGAACACACACACAGCTCTCACAATCACAAGAAAACTGAGATGAGATTTGAGCTGTGCTATCTGTGTGAGGTTTAGCTGCAGTTGCCTCAATCAACAAACACACACCTTGCTGAGCAGGTGGTCAGGCAGGGGCTTGCGGGTCAACCAGGGGTCCATGGAGTAGAGTTTTGGGTCGCGGTCGGACAGCTCGATGCGTCGCGGCGTCAGCAGCTTCCTGCGGGTGAACTCCAGCTCATCGTCGTGCACGTTGCTGACATCGGTCACGTCGTAGCCAATTAGGTAGTTGAGATAGCGCTGGTACTGCAGGGACTCGTCTGAGGGCTGCGGACGGGGGACCAGCTGGATCCGCCCCACATCTTTCTTGAGGGCTTTAAAAACACAACACACGTCTTTTACATCATCGTAACAGAATAACCCCGCTTGGGATTCCACATTTTGTCACCGGTTGGTACCTCTCCAGTAACGAATGCAGTCCAGCGTCTGGAAGACCTGGTGCTTGTCGTAGATCTCACACACGTTGCCTTTTTTCTGGTAGAGCAGGATGCAGTGGTCCGGAGAAAACCTCTGGTAGAAGTCAGGGCAGAGGTTTAAAGTCACCGCCTTCAACCACACCTGAGCTTTCACCTGGGAGACCGGAAATATAGAAGAGAATAGAATCTATGAGTACCACTTCTACGCCCATAACAAATAATCTCCAGTGCTGACAACAAATCAGTAACTTAGGTGACCTGTTCCACAGTCCAGTTCCCAGCCACCTCCAGCAGCAGAGTGTCGGGGCTGTTTCCGCTCCGCGCCACGGTGGGCAGGACAAACTCAACGGTGATCTGATCCATGGCGGTGCAGGAGGATGAGGAGATGGCCTTCTTTCTTCTCCTCCGTCGGTTCTCTTCTCGCAGGACTTTGGGCTCTTCGTCACTCACCTGGATCTGCTTCCCGTCCATCGCCTAGCTTGTGGGGGACGAGAGACAGACAGAAACCGATTGAGCACTCTTATGCTGGGATCCTGTATACATCTCCCTTTAGATACAGATTAATCTGATATTGATGAGAGATTTAAATTATAATACCAGCTGATCTATCATCATTGATCTATCAGCCTGCCCATCTAGGCTATCACTCTATTCATTTTACTATCAGTACTTCCATTTGTAAGGAAGCTGCTTTCTGAAAGTCTTGTTTATGTAATTGGATGTCCTAGGAAGGGACATATGTAAATGTAATGACTATAAAACTGCAAAAGACAAAATATTGACTCCTTCTGCTTCCAAATGGATAAAGTGCAATAAGTACATGGACTGTGATAGTGTGTTTGGCAGTCAATATAATGTTTGACTATTGGCAAACATGAATTAAACAATACACTGCTTTACACAAACAGACATTGAGGCCTAATGGGATTTTGTATTATAACAGTACAATGTTTGTTTGTTTTTTGGCAAGTTGACTACATTTCTAATATAATATGGAATAAGCTAAAAAGGTCATTATATTGACTGAGGCTGCCTCCATTGGAAAACCTTCCCACATAAAAGCACTGCGTTCTTATTATTATCTAAAACAACTATGACAATACAATAAAACATTTTTTGCCATTTCCCTTGTAAATTGTGCTACAACAAAAAGATGACACGGTGACAGCCATTTCAAAGTATATTTTAAAAAAAACTGACTGAAGCTGAGTCGCAGGGTTAAATGGCTGGGGTTTCCCTTCTGCTTCTTTCACATCAGCAGAGGAAGTTTTTAAAAGCAGGAAGCAAAACTCGACACAGCATGGATGTGACTATAACTGCACAAAGTGTATGCTGTTTTGACGGTCTTAAACATTTTAATCGATATAAGCAATTAAAAACTGACAGTGACAAAGCTGCGAGGAGAAAATAACAACTTTCAAAGCAACCATAGCGGAACTGGGTCTGCGGTGAATGTAACGGTTCAGCTGCCATAATAATCGGAAGGAGAGGCGTCAATTTTGTAAAACACAAACAAAAAGCCTTTTAAATGACTCACCAATGAACGCGGACGGCAACGAAACCCGGAGCTTTGGGTGAAAGTTTCGGCATTTATGCTACATGAAGAGACCTCAAACCAGAGTAAAAATACTTTTTAACTTTGTAGGCAAACTCTACATTAAGGAAATGAGGCGCTTCTACTCAGGAAGGTTGTCAAGTCGCCGGCTAATTTCTTCTAGCCACAACAAGACTTCCGGCGTTTTTCCTCAAAATCCACCACCTACGACAGCTCTTAATGACTAACTTATGAAGAGTGAACAGCACTCTCGCCCAATGCCAGTTGGGATAAGCGGTTGACGATGAGTGAGTGAAGGGTCGATAGCAGACATACAAACCTGAAGCTATATTTACGTTTGATAGTTTTCAAAAATGATGTAAAGGAAAGGATGGAGATGTTCAAATATCTGATCTAATTCATAATCATAAAAAACAAAAAGTAGTGTTTTTGGTCTCATCTAAACATAGTTTACACTGCCCTACAGTTGTCACTCTTGTCGATACATAATAATAATAATAATAATATAATAATAATAATAATAAATATTCAATTTAAGAATGTAAAGTTGTACTCTCTGACCACTACAAAACAATCATTACAGTATAATAATCTATTTCAAGTTGCTTCACTTTTATTTATTGGAATTTATTTTGTTGTTTGTTTTTTTGCGGATTTATTTTGAAAGTATTTACCGGAAGTGTTGCTGTGTAATCATAGATAACTTGATGTATCCTGCCTTGATGCAGTTCCTCACCGTGACCGTTAGAGGGCAGTGAACACTCACGATTCTACGTTATGTCAACTTTCAGCTCCACCAGTACCAAGACGAACACAGAGCATGATCTCTCCACCAGAAAACGGTTCAGTCAATAACTAAATAACACTTGATGTTACTCTTGATATTTGCAATAATCACACTAATAATGACTTGTACAAACTGATATAACAATGTCTTAAAGGGGTACTGGAACTTTGGACCATCTCTATTTCACCCAGCATTGTTCTGTGTCCTGTTAACTTAAACCCTTATTTATATTAAGACGTCATAAATTAGGTGTGCTGAAATGTAGCTGGTATTATCAAAAAGGACACTGTGGCCTACTCTATAGTGACATTGTCCATTCATATTTGATTTACTGATTTATTTGCCAAACCAATAGAACATCACAGAGCAAAATATGGCATTTAAAAATGATTACCTGCTGGTGTACTATTTCCTTTCAATTGGAATAACTGGGGAATATTGCCCTGTTGTGTTTGTTTATTTATTTGTTTACTCATAAAGTTACTCACCACTCAAGTATGTTTTTTCAGTGTATTCTTTTTAATTTTACTATTTTTTTTACTTCTTTACTTTGTCTTCTACTTTCATTTCTATTTGTAATTACAAAGTAATGGCACTTTTTATCCTAGTAGAGTTTTTGGCTACTCCACTTCTGACTTTCTCTGATTATAGTTTCTCCCTTTCCTACTTGCAGCATTGAAACATCTATAAATACAGTAAAAAAAATGTAGTTGTGGCTTTCATACAATGGTTACAATGTACAAACATGTCACAGGAGAGGGCCACTGTCTGACCAGGTCCCTTGGTTGAAACTACCTGTTGTACTAGTTGCACTGGATGTCTGAGAATTGAGATTAAGTCATTGGGCTCCTCTCTGGTGGATGAGTCCGCCTACAGGTGGGAGATCGACCATCTGGTGACCTGGTGCAGCCACAACAGTCTGGAACTCAACGCTCTGAAGACAGCGGAGATGGTCGCAGACTTCAGAAAGACTTCAGTCGCCACTGTGGACTCCTTCTGCTTCCTGGGCACCATCATCTCCCAGGACCTCAAGTGGGAGCTAAACATCACCTCCAAAAGGCCCAGCAGAGGATGTACTTCCTGCGGCAGCTGAAGAAGTTCAGCCTGCCAAAGACAATGATGGTGCACTTCTACACCGCCATCATCGAGTCCATCCTCACCTCCCCCATCACCATCTGGTACGCTGCAGCCTGCCCTTGTCCCTGGCAGTGGCAGCAGCGTATCATTCGCTCTGCAGAGAAGGTGATTGCAGTCTTCCATCTCTTCAGGACCTGTACGCCTCCAGGACTCTGACTGTTTCAGACTCTCCCCTCTGGCAGGAGGCTGCGGTCCATCTGGACCAAAACCTCTCGCCACAAGAACAGTTTCTTTTTACGATGGCAGTGGGCTTCCTCAACAAGGCCCGGGTCCCCACTGTCAGTGACTCTCATGCCCCCCTCCCCAAACTCACCTTACTTTTTATATATTTATATTACTATTTATGTTATGTGTACTGTAAGCACCAATTCATACCAATTCCTTGTATGTGAAAATGTACCTGGCAATAAACCAGATTCTGATTCTGATTCTGATTTTGTTTAATAGTTTTACTTTCTACTTATCATGTCGTCTCACAGCCTGAACCCGGTGTTAAAAATATGCTCAGTGTACAGGAGATTCCATGTTTTGATATTGTCACTTGTGGTACTTTTGGTTTAGCCATCTTTCATCATTTCCACCCACCCTATGTTTTATTGTTGTGGCGATGATAATGAAGAGAACGAGCCAGCACCACACTGACCAATGAGGATGACAGAATCTGTAGATTGACATCAGTTCTGGCCAATAGCATTCCTGGAGGAAATGTGTTTATACCAGCCCCCTTTCCCCGTACAAGGCGACTGTTTTGGTGAGTTAAGGAAAGTTCATTGAAATCATTTCGGGGTTTTAAAGCGTTGAATTTGATTAATGATTACGCTATTTCAATGATTTCCCCCTGAACCTGGCGCACGAGTAATAATGTGAAATTGACAACGTTTATTTTTTGCCGTATCTGCAGTTTCGCTGCTCTCCCCCTGACGCTTCATTGTTGACGTTAGCTTTAGTTGTTGTGTTGTAACTGCTTTTGCGCAGTCGGATGGCTCGTCCGTTTTAATGTATTTAATCATATTTCTACACTCCGAATCTCATTGATTTTGTTCATGTGTCCGTTAAAACACAGACACCAACGCCTTTTCTCGTTTTCGTCGACGTAACTTCAGTATTTCAACGGTACTTTTTGTTTCGTGACAACAAATAACGCTGCTTCGTCTGAAGTTTTGCGAAGCGTTAAAAAAACGATGACACCAGTAGCATTTAACAGCAGCGGCTAGTGTAACGATAGTCCGTTTATTCTGGATGGTTAATTTCGTGCTTTTTACTCATTTTGAACTACTTGCTTTAAATGTATTATCGCTGCCTTCAACTGAATGAATGGGCTTTTTATGCGCATGCGTGCAGGATCTGAAAGTTTATAAACAAGAGGGAGTCACATGACAATATTGTGAAATAGATAATAAACTAGTTCTTATCATGTTTACGTGTTAGAAACAGAACATCCCAAAGTGTTGTGTGTACATTTATATCCGCACTCTTCCATTAAATAGTGAAGTGGTATATATACAGGAGCTCTGAGAATGTGTCTAAACTTAGCGGTGTTATTATGTAATGGCAGGCAGCCCAGTGTTACCTTATGTCTCCTTATGTCACCACAACCATAAATAGCCTATACATTACAGCTCAGTGAAGGATTAGGTTTGTGTGTGTCATGTTCATGTGTCCCAGTGGGGACTTAAACTTGAATGGACACTAACCGATGGGTACTTGTGTCACCTCGGGGACAAAAATTGAGGTCCCCACGGGTAGAGACTGCTTTCAGGTTACAGTTGGGGTAGGGTAAGGGTTAAGGTTAAGGCATGTTGTTGTAGAGGAACAAAGGTGTGTGCGTGGGGGGGCTGGGGTGGGGGAATAGTGGGTTTTTGGCCCATGGGATTCTGGAATAAGGCTAATGCTGATACAGATGTCAGTAATGTTTACCTATTATAACTTGCAGCTAAACATTACTGACATTACACGACATTTTCCATTGACCTTTAATCTAATCATTTACATAAAAAAAAACTATGATGCTGATCAAGTGAGACTTGTTGTTTATAGTTATTCAGCTGTCTGCATGTTTCAGTGACTGTGGACATCATGGTATGGGAGGTGGTGACCCCAGCTGTACCGTCCAGCGACCCCATACACCAGAACGTGCGAGATTCAGAGGCTCAGGGTGAAAACACAGGTAACCACAGAGCAGTGGACTGCAGAGTTAATGTGTCTGTACTGTGTAATTACTGACGCAAAACTCTGAAAGGGATACGCCAGTGATTTAGAAAAGATCTTCATGTAGAGTTTCCCTATAACTGCCAGACTAATCTCTACAATTGTGAAAGCTGTTTGCAAACCTTAATATTAACTATATTATTATTTGATAATAACAAGTAATCAGTGATTAATTAATAGCGACAATATTAATATTCTAAGAACAGACTAGTCAACATAGATTGGGAATAGATTCAGAAAACACACCACCATTTGGGAAATAGACATCTTTAATTTAATTTGCGTAATTCTAAAGGCTATCGTCAGTCTATCTATCTTTCCAACACTTTAATCTCCTGTTGTTTGGCTGGGCTTCCCTTCAGGAGTGAGGATGGATGCAGATGGAGACCAATCACACACCCTGCTCTGCTGCGAGGAACGCCTCCCCTCCTCGCCTGGCTTCCCCACCAGCGACAGTTACATGGAATATGGTACATAAAGGCACGGGCATACACCGGGTTTAACGCAGCGGATGGATGAATGGCATAACACATGTGCACTTCAAACTTATCAACTAGTGTTTCGTTTTCTCCGCCTAGACGACCTTCCAGACCTACAGGAAGTTCAGGAGGAGGCAGAGCCAACAGCACCACCTGTCTACCAGGTGGATGTGGGCGTGTCCCACCAAGAGCGGCACGTGCACACACAGCCCCCTGACACACACTGGCTGACGCAGCTAGCTCACATCGCCACCGGACCTCAGAGTCCACTGCTCCAGGAGCCCTCTCACAGCAGGTAGGTGCTCTGTGTACTTCCCCATGTGCTTGAATGTCACAGATGAAAGGTATGAATGTAACATTGTATATAAGGTTGGAATGTGTCTCCCCAGCCATGTTACAGATCTAAACAAAAATAACTTGTGAGCAGGGCCTTAGCCAAGATTTTAGAAATACTGAGGTCATGGTTCTGCAGTCACCCGGTGCATCCTCAGCCTCCTAAGAAATTTAAGAAGCCACTAAAAAAAGTTTTTCTTTTCCCACATATTCTAA